CATACATAATTAATGAGTTATTAGGCCAATAGAATGAGCCTAATTGCTTACATGCATAAAACACTCCTTATTAGGTAAGTATTCTTTAAAAGAATACTAATAAGGGTGAACTTTATCAGATATAAAGGTCCATGCATGTAAGCAAAGGTCTCAGGTTTGATACCTGATCATCGACCAATGCAGGATGTCAACCAATTGCAGTACAACAGCCATCAATACTTCTATTTTACTTATTATGCGTATTCAATGTGGGATGACAAGAGTGCTTTGTAAAGTGATTTGAGCATGGTCAGTTTGCCCCATTTATCTCTGAACATATTTGTACGACAATTTCTCCAAGAATTTTAACAGATTTGAGTTTCAAATTAGTGTTGGAGTTTTTGAAGCCATTTCAAACACTCGAGATCGTGTTTTAAACTATACACAGGATGTTATATGGACACATGGAGCTACAGATTTTATCTTCAAGTGTTGAAAAGATGCAGTTTGTGGGTAGGAATACAACTACAACTGGAGGACAAAACAATAGGTTCTAGTTACCAAGGGATACATGTACCTTTCTCTAAATCTCCATGTGTACCAAGCTCAATTGTTTTTTTAATAGGATCAACTAAGGTCAATGCTGTATTAAGAAGCTGTTTTGCTGTACTCACACCACTGCACTGAAACAAATAACAACAAGATCTAATGATATATGTACTTTCACGGCTTTGTGGTGCAGTCAATAGCATGTTACAGTCTGACTGTAAACTAGTATGCTGGCAGAAGGTGTCTGCACACTTCCAATAATAACTATCATAATGATTACATAAATTATGAAATTTGGATTATTTACAACTAAACCTACATTTTATGATTTAATTTTGACGTGTAAATTTATTGGTCAAGTATTTCTAAAACAATACACAGTAACTTACTTCATGTTTATCCAGAGCCACAATAGAGCAGTAAAAAGCCTTTAAAAACTTGAGTCTTGCAAGGATGGCTTCATTCTTCTTTATTTCTGCCTGTTGATTTACGCAAATAATGACAATACAAATACATACATTTCAATGCAGAAAAATATAAATAAATATTATTAATAATTGTAGGATGTTGACAATGATGATAATGTATAATTATGTATTGATGGTTGTAATGGTATAGTTTAATTTAATTTAATTTAATTTAATTAGTTGTGCAGTTAAAAACAATTTACTAACATTATGAAATGTGAAATAGTAATTTTACTATTAATTAAATACTATTACCCCCTATTAGCTCCTGGCCAATAGTTTAACTTATGACATGCGACAAACTAATTAGGCAAATATGATTATGATTTTGCCTTTTGGTAGCCYACTACACCCTTCTAATAGTTACTATTACAGCTGTAAACACCAGACTAGTAGTAAGTGTTAATTCACAGACGGATGAAATGMCTCTAAAATCAATCWTGTAATATTGTTGTCTCAAATTGTAATTTACTTTGTTAAATAAGATGTCTAAAGTTAATAACCTTCCATCGTTTTCTGTCAGTTTTTGTCTAGTTTAGAAGGATACCAATTAATTTCTTTTACACTGATTAATCTCATATCAAGCAGGTCTATAATAGGACAGGACTTCAATATTACTAAAACTACTAGAGAACAACAACTAGAATGTTGGTGAAATTTGAGGCTGTGCTGGATGACATACTCCTTTCAATAATTGATGAATTATTGGCTAAATTAATCCTTTTTCTGCTTAAATATTAAATATTTATTGTAAAACATATTTTTTGATAAAACTTTAAATTGTGAAGAAAGACTTTTTAAGATGATATAAAGAATATCAAGTACTGTCTGGAGCAATATCTATTTTTAAACACAGAGCATAACTGTATGAGAATGCATGGCTACTGGTACTGAGTGTGCAGTATGTACTGTAAGAATGCATGGCTACTGGTATTGAGTGTGTACCTGAAGATCTGTTGTCATGGGATCTGTTTTTATTGACACTCTAGCACTCTAGAAAAAGATTAATAATAAAACACAATATTATTGATAATCAAAATTGAGGCTATAAATTATTTAATACAATAAAAAGAAAAAATTCAACGTAACTTCAGCTAGGAAGTCATAGCCTGTGTACATCTCTTTCCCAAATAAGTGGGCAGGAGAGAATCGGATTATTTGGGAGGGGTGAGAAACGGATGGATGTACACAGGCTAACAAAGTCATCATGTGAATAAAAATATCATGTCACATTATTGATAATAAACAAATATTGATAATAAAAATATTATGTCACGTGGTTGATAATTTTGAGTAACATTTTCATAATTTCATGACTGGAGAGCTATAAGACTGAAATGAGTAACAGCATATAATACTAATAATAATATCATTAATATTTATTATTACAGAAAATCTTTTTGTCTTCTTCTAAACACATTCATCTATCTGTGGTCTGATTGGTTTACTACTAGGTAAATCAGCTCATCTATACCATGAGTAGAGAAAAACGTTTCCCATAAAACTACAATGGTGAGAACATGAATAATTCTTTTGAAAACAGCTTACCCTTATGTGTATTTTTTGAATCGACAACTTTAAATTATCTTGGTTTTTGAAACCGGTTTTAAAGCCGTTTTGGTCACTTTCCAAATGAGAGTTAATTTGTAACACAAACATACCAAGAATGGCAAACAATTTTTCTATAGCCTGCGTAGCTAGGCGTTCCTATCACACCTGGCTATTCAGGCTATTTTTCCTACAAGACAACTGATGGTAAGAGCATGTATTGAATAATTCTTTTGAAGACAATTTATTTATTTTTAAATTGACAACTGTGAGTTTTTGGCCTCTGGCAGCTGSTAGTACACGATTTAGTAGCTTATTCTAGCAGGCTCTTGTTTTGCCTACTCCTCCCCCGACCCCCTCCTTCAGTTTTCCCCCCTTCCTCTTGATAGCCAACTGGACTGGAGCCTACTTGGCTATCAGCTCATCATGTACAACTTGTTTTGTGAAATTAATAACTTACTGTTAAATATAGAACACACCCATTACCCTAACTTATGAGCAATATGTCTTGATCATTTTTTTATTCTTAGTCTGTTTTTTATGTGAGTTAGTATTCATTGGATCATATACCTTTATTTTCTTAGCAATTTCTTCTTCTGCTTCTTTCAGCATTCCTACAGTTCACACAAAAAGAAAAGTCTGAATCCCACACACTACATTCATTAGACATTAATGAGCAGAAGCAATAGAGAAACAAGTGATATTTACAATGTGCCAGCACTGTAAGCTCTAGATATTAAAAAAAGTCATTTGAATGATGTTATTATTAGAAGTAGACTGTGACTATAATCCTGGAGAAAATTAAGCCAGTCAAGTTGAAGCACAGGGATACTGAAGGTAAAATTTAAGATACTGTACCAGTAAATATGCAGTAAAATATGCTGTACCTGCAGCTCTAGGCTCACTGACAGGACTACCCATTTTAAAACCATATGTCATTGACTGRAAGTCTTCCTGAAAATAATTTACAGATCATATATGAATTTCTTTTTAAATAGCCTGAATGCTTTAGGGACCGCCTAATACATGTGTCAGGACATTTTAGTCCTATATCAATAATGATCAGAATAACAAATAGGTGTAAAAGTATGGTTACCTCTTCGAAGACCTGGGCAGTATTTACAGCAATTCTTATAAACTCACAGCACTTCAACACAGCAACACAGAATGCCTAAATATTGATAGAAAAAAATCAGAAACTCTATATTATGCTCCATCATAGAAGCTGAYACATGTATTTCTATTACAGGAAGCCTGAAAACACAATTTGACTGAACATGATCCAAATGAGCATGAGTCAAATACAGCATAATAAATGATTTGAACCACACTTGTGTTGTGCTAAGTTTTCAAGTAACATGTTATTATTTAATAATAGTCTCATCTACAGTTCCCTGTGCCATTAAAATAGACTTTGAATCAAAGACAAGTGATGACTGCAAGTAATTGTGTATAGAGCGGATTTCGTATGAGTGGGAAACGGACGGTACTGTACTGTGTCCGTAATCGTACTRTAACCAAATTCTAGTGCCCCATTGTTTCACCAAAATTCTGCAGGCCAGGTGCGGTAACTGTGCGGTAACGGTGTCCCACTCATACGAAATACGCTCTATATGAATATGGCTTATATCATTCCGTGCTCACTGGTTGTCACAATTTGATGTAAARGCCTCAAGTCCAGCTTTAACACTGATTYGCAAAAATGTAAAGGAAATGCAGTGATGATAATCATAACTTTACCTTAAGACAAGGGTCTTGAATAAGAAAAGGATCATGCATATATAGACATATAAATACAGTCTGCACAAGGGAATGACCATCTAACCATGTCACCTGAAATAGTTGAAATACAGTACATGTATTTACGTGTTGCAGAAAAATTTATTGAGGAAAATAATAAATACAGTAAGAAGTTCATTGCAGTATCATGTCTTCCCTAATGGCCTGGCCTTAGCCTAAGTGCACTCAAACTGTCAATTGCTCTCTTAGCAGATGATTGGCTTACACTGGGTCTATATACATGTAGTATCTAAATCCTCAACAAGTGGAATTAGAATCCCCACATAGTCTTTGTATCAACACGAGACCTTTTCAAATGGGCACCATTCTCCATGCAATAAATTAATATTGGCCAGCTAAGATGCTGGACATGCTCTTGATCACCCATTCCATAATATTTTCAAGAAACGTTTAAAGCTGTATCAGATTTCAAAATGTTGGTTGTCAACAAATAACTCAGGTTATAGCATGATTGTTTGGGCTAAATAAAATTAAATGCTAAGGATTTACAAGAATTAAGACACAAAAAAGAAAGCTACTTAGAGCTACAACTGTCTTACCAAGCAAGCTAATAACTCATYCATAATACCAAGTCACAAAAAAGAAAGCTACTTGGAGCTACAACTGTCTTACCAAGCAAGCTAATAACTCATCCATAATACCAAGAAGTTCTTCAGATGTAAAATCTTTTATCTTAATAAGACCGCCCTGGAAATGTTAACCAATTAGTGGCATTTGATAATTTACAGAGACCAATTGCCTTAAGTGTTGCACTATACAATCATGTATTATAATAATCAAATAACTACAATCAATGTGCTGAGCAGGTATTTAAAATTGCAGCTAAAAACATATTAAAAATTGAAYAAAAATATTTGTCGCTAGCCTAAGGTTTTAATGAAAAAYGCAGACGTTTCGGTCAGAACTTCCTCAGTGTGTTGTAATAAAAGAGCTAAGTTTGCTCGTGTAAGTTAATGGTTTGAAAAAATCTACTGAGCAGATTCTTGACAMACAATTATTCTTTACAGTGTAACTTGTGAATGAAAAAATGATTACATTAGCTTTTGTTATATTGGTAAATTATTTTCACTGTTTTCTCGCTCTCTTATTGG